GAGAGAGAGAGAGAGAGAGAGAGAGAGAGAGAGAGAGAGAGAGAGAGAGAGAGAGGAGGGAGAGAGAGAGGGGAGAGAGAGAGAGTGGGAGAAAGAGAGGAAGAGAGGAAGAGAGGGGCTGAGTTCGCAGTCTTGAAATCGGACCTCTGTGTGATACCTTTTTGGGTTTGAACCGAGGTCCTGTTGCTGATACCGCTAGGATTCGAACCAGGGACCTGCTGGGTCTAAACGGTAAGAATAACTGGTTTGGCCTGAACTGAGGGTAGGGCGGTTTGTCCGACTTCTGACGGTCATCCGCCAACAAGGGCTACGGGTTAGGATGTCAGACGGAAGTGTGTAGCAGGAATATGCGGTATGCCAGTAATGTACATTTAGAAATTAGAAAATAGGAAAATAAGATGAGATCGAGGAAGTAGTTCCCAGCYGCGGACACTTACGTAGCAAAGGTAGTAGCTATATAACTAACTCTGTCGTCAAAGCCGGTCTTTTGGAATGAGGTTCGAGGGACCCCCCCTGAAGATGATCGGTTGGCAACCGATCGAAACGCGGCGTAGGGGGAAGCCGCAGGCACGAAGGTGGGAACTGGCACTGATGTGCCATGCACGTTATCTTACGAATCTTGACATGATTTCGGACGAACTATTGTGCTTGTTTATCTTTCGTCATGGTTCGTTCCTTTTCTTCTCAGTGATGAATGAGATCTAAGTGTGCATGTGACCACGCACTTGGTTAACTATATCCACACAAGAGGAGGGTGGCGATAATCGACCGGGAAGGACACCTAGGACGGTGGTCGCTTTACTAACAGATCGTTGGGTGAATCGGTGGGGAAGAGGGAGGACTCCGCGTTTGGAGAGAATGGTGTGTTATACGTGTGGTAAGGATGGTCACTTCGCACGCGACTGCCCTTAGCGAGTTGGCACGACACCGGCTAGCTTTGAGAATAATGGTGGGGGCTATAACCGATATAACGGGCTGTGGTGGCAACAGAAGAAGGATATGGAGGATATCGGTTGGATGCGGGAGCTCTGCGCGGAGATGGGGAGGGAAAGGAAGGAGAGGGATGAAATTAGGAAGGAAGAAGAACGTGTGAAGCTAGAGGAGGAAACGAAAAAGAGGGAAGAGGAGCTACATCGGCAGCACAAGGCAGAGATCGATAGACAAGGAGAGATACGTGATGCCCGACTCATGGCTGTTATGACCTCTTAATTGAAGACCCTCCATGACAAATTGACGGGCAGATGGAGGGGGTACGGACGAAGATACATGTAAGAGATCTGCAGAAAGAGGACATTGGGAAGCTGCGAAGTGAGGTGGTCGAACTCGAGAAGGAACTGGCGACTGAAGACAGTCCTGATAAGGAGCGGGAAGAGCTACGGTGGAAGTTGGCGCAACTGCGTAAACTCAAAGAAGATCGGGACGTCGCTCATATGAAGAGGAAGATTATGGAAGAAGAACTGAATTGGGAACTGGACCAGGCCCGACGTGAGACTGATCCCGGCGACGATGAATTTGCACCGTCAGCTTCTGTACGACCTCTGAGGAGGAAGAGGATGGAGACTCCGTCTACACCATCACGACCACCAGGACCGTAGCAACGCGTCAGACAGCCGAATCTGGGGATTCGAATTGAAGAACCTGATACACCTCGCACGCCCAGGACCCGCTCACAAGCGAAGAAGAACCAAGCGTTAGACACAGAGATGTTGATATGAGGTTGGCGAGACATAACGATGGACGGATCGAAAGTGGATGTGGTCGACTACTGCATGTGCATGAGGAGCTATCTTCGTACGAGAACGATGGTCGAGCTGCAGTGCCTATGCGGGGAGGAACGGGTCGAGTACATCACTCGAGACAAGGCTATTAAGGCGCTAATAGGTAGCCGGATGCAAGAGGCTATCCTGCGATCGAATTTCGGCCCCGATGCCGACGCTGATCTAGGACTGGATCCAGAGAAGGATCCGGACCTGACAGATGAATGACACGTTCACCTCGATCGAGCCTGGGCGCTATGGGACTCTTTAGTGATATATAGACGACACTATAGAGACAAAGCCACATGTAATCTCATCGACACCGCGCTTAGAAATGTGATTGTAATTCTGATGATACATGGGGCGCTACCATGGTTGGAGAAATTTCGGAATTTGTGGGAGGATGAGAAGATCCACTGGGAAAATCCTACACGATGCGTACACGCACTAGTATCAACGAAGTGTCGGAATATCTATATCGGACGGACAAGCAGGGAACTTTGCCCTAGATGGAAGGAACACGTGGCTTGTAGTAACGGGAGCGATAGCAGATGCCAGTCGTTATACCGATGGCTACGAAAGATAGGTACGGATGAATATGTAGCGATACCGCTGACAGCGGCAGAGAGTGATGAGGATTTGAAAAGAATCGAGAGATGTTTGATCAGACGATGGTCTCCAACGCTTAATAGACACGATAGGAAACCTGCACGCTCGAAACGACGGAAGAAAAGGAGAGGCAAGCGGGAGAGAAAAGGGAGGAGGAATACACGAGAAAAGAAAGGTAGGATTTTGAGATTCGTGGATGAAGATAATCTATCCTCCACTCGACTGACAAATTACCTAGATAGTGCTATAAAAAATGGACGGAAAGACTTTCGTATCGTATGCAAAGGAGACGTATGGTGTGAGGATTGGAAGATCCTCAAACGACGATACGGGATGTCGATGATCGAAATGTCGGGTACAACGTGCCTACTAAGGGAAGGTAAGAAGCTGATCGAACGAAACGGTCTGCTGACTATCAAAGATCCAGTGGAAACAGTCACTTTTCCTGCCAAGATCAGACGAGAGCTCCTATTACTGCTCACGCAGCCATGGCGGCGTAAATTACTATGGAAGAAAGAAGACTATGAGTTGACATATATGTACCAGGCCACTAGGGGTTTTGACAAAAGGAGTAGACAGAGGATTAGGACGATCCTGTCTAAGGTACTGAATGAAAAGATTGGGATTAATCTTAGGAAAAGGATTACGGTGAAGATTCCCTACGATGATAGAGTTGGTAGAAGGAAGATTGAGGATGTTGTAAGGAGGAAGATTGGAGAATTGGGCATGAGCGATCTGATTACCAACATCGTACGAAGACATGTTCAGGCCGTTTGGATGAAGAAACAAACGGTTGCTGATCTGCTTCACAACCATCGAGACTGCGCGCGCTCGAATGGTAGCATCTGCACGTGTGCAGATAGCCCCTTCCTGTTAGTGGAAGGACATGTACGTTGTTGTCTTTCGGATATCGGCGCTCCCGATTTCATTCTTAATTCGAGGAACATACCCCTACAAAGGACGAAGCAGGTGAAGCGCGGGATTATGGCTGCAATCCTGGATGGGCTGGGTGAGCTCTTCAGTGCTACAGGACGACCACTCACCCTCCAGATCACGGATTTGGATTTGTGTGTAAAAGAGAAGGAGAGAACACAGGACGATTGGCTTCAGAAGACACTGGAGTGGAGGCGACGGTTAAAAGGACTGGTGTGCATGCCCATGGATCGTAACGTAGGCGCCACCTACATCGTCTGTCCGACTATTTATGCAAGGGCACTACGAGACCTGTTCTGGCACGGACAGAGTTTCATAATGTGCAGTACACCTGAAGAGGCAATTCTCGCACGGAGTAAGCACGATTACGAAAAGAAGGGTTTGAAGAAACTGGGTCAGTGGAGGAAGAAAGGAAGACTCGACGATACTTCGCACCCTTCGCGATGGCGACCGATCGCACCCGTGTGGAACGCTCCTACGAAGGAAGGAGCCAAGAAGGTGGCCAAGTCGATGCGCTGCATGCTTCGATGTTTGGTGAGTAGAATCCACTTCAATATCACATCCTCCGAAGAGGCGATCAAGAGACTGTCTACATGGGCAGGACGTCTAGACTCCAGATATGGTGTGATTGATGGTAGCTTCGACATAAAAAATATGTTTTCGGAGCTGTCGCATGAGGTGATTCGTGAATCTGTGGATTGGCTGATTATGATGATGGAATCGAAGGGATATGACCAGGTAAGCGTTAACTGCAGAGGCAAGAGACCGGCGATGGGGAGGCAGGCTAGAGAAGGGCACATCTCGGTCAAGTTTGAACACATACGCGTATGGGTCGACTATGAGCTTGATCACTGCTTCAGCAAGGCAGAAGGATAACTGATCCAACAGATCAGAGGGATTCCGATGGGCGGACACATGAGCCCTGCTCTAGCATGCATCCTTTGTACCAGGCATGAAGCTCTATTCGTCCATAGCCTGGGTACGGATCGGAGGTTGATCCTCGGGCTACGACTGATGGATGATGTAGCCATCTTCGTGCGATTTCTCTGTACGAGAGTCGACTCGTCCTGCCTGACTAGGGATATTATCCTGAAAATGCAGAACTGTTACCCATCTGATCTCTTACTACAGCGCACTGATGAGGGAGATGGTACCCTGTTGTTTCTAGGATGTAAGATTTTTACAGACCAGGAAGGACCGAAGATCACATTAGTTCTCCAAATGAAGAACCAAGAATGCTTGACCCTTGGTCTACCACTCACGTACCAGAGTATTCAGGATTATGACTCATACAGTGACAAACGTACCAAGACAGCTATGATCACAAGCTATTTGCACCGTATTGTGAGATGTTCAGATACGGCGATGCGGGATCTGCCACTTTTGTGCCTCAGGAAAGAGCTTCGTATGAGATCCTACCCGAAAGAGGTGATTACGAAGACTTTTTAGACCTTTGCCGCCAGGGAACGCACTCATCCGGGGCGCCTCCATCCCACAGGGATGGCGGTAGAAGAGGGGAGAGAGAGAGAGAGAGAGAGAGAGAGAGAGAGAGAGAGAGAGAGAGAGAGGGAGAGAGAGAGAGAGAGAGAGAGA